CCCCCCCCCCCCCCAGTTCTCCTCCTGCCCTCGGGAGCGACCACACTCTCTCCTGTGTGGGTAGGCTGCTTTGCCTTCTCCTGGGGCAATTTCTTCTAGAGTCCCAGGAGACCCCCCTCCCCCCCCGGACAAGGAGAGAGGACAAAGGGCAGCTGCCGACACCTGCGTGTCTTGTACACAATGCACTTTTTAATACAAAACCAAAGATGCTGGATGCCATACCAGCCTCCTCCCCTTTTCTAGACTTCATAGATGCTCCTTTCAAAGTGGGCAGAATGGTGTTCCGGGACCACAGCTCCCCCTCAGCCGACAAACCCAGTCAGGGAGGTGCCAGACCTCCTTCCCCCTGAAATGAAGAGAGAGCAGCAGGGGGAGTAAGGGGTGGTCATGGACCTTTCAGGTTGGGACAAGAGTTCCCATCCTAAAAGTGTTGCATGTTTAAAAGGTCCCGGGTTCAGCCCCCCAAGGATCGCTGACAGGAACTCTTGGACGGCAGGTCGTGGTCCGTCTTCTCTTTTTATTTCCCCCCTTCCCTGCCCCCCCCACATCACTTCCAGCTTAACAAACGGAGCAATGGAACTCTCAAAACCTTGTGCGCTCTTTGAGCAAAGTCCTGCCGCCCCAGTGTGGCCGGCGTTTTCCTTGACACCAGCACACATTTCTCTTTTCTAGGCTGAGTCAGGTCTCTCTCTTTCAGACCGCATGGCTCCCTCCTTTAAGAACACCAAGCAGGTCCCCCCGGTCAGGGCTGCTCATGCGGGGGGGGGGAAGAGCAGCCGTCCCACTTCCGCCTCCTCGCTGCTTCTGAAGAGAGTGAAGTGTGCGTCATCGAGTCTGGGGAGAGCGGCCTGGGAATGGCTGCCAGGGCTGGGTGCCTTTGGCATTATGTGCAGGGGTGTGTGTGCTCTTGATCCACCGAAAGTTCTGGCCACCTCAGAAAGGTGAGGAGGGCCTCGCAACCACCATGAAAGCCACCTTCCCCTCAGATGAGCCTGTGCGGAGAAGCAGGATCCTTTAAAATAAATGCCTTGAGAAACCATTCCTCACCCCACCCATTATCCCAGGCCTGTCCCTGCCCCTGTTTAGAGGGACGTCAATCCTGCAAGGATGCCGGCTGGGAGAGGAGGCCGTGGCTTGGTGGTCCCGTGGCCAAGAGTGGGAGCTGAAGAGTCTAGAAAAGGGAGCGGCCTTGTGCTTGGACCTTCACTCAGGCGTCCAGCTGGCCAAGACGGCTTCGGCACAGTCCAGCCGCGAGAGGGACTGGCTCCCTGGCCCCACAAGGGGACTGCCCCTCCGGCGGCAGTGGGTGCTAGTGGTGTGGATGAGGTAGCGTGCAGGGCTCAGAGTTCGGAGCGCTCTTGGCCTTTGGGCTGGGCGTCCATCTGGTCAGCTGCCGATGCCTCCGTCTGCTGCATGTTCGCGTAGGCCACCTCCTGCGCCAGCTGCTCCAGCGAGGGGCGGCCCCACACCAAGTTCCGTAGGGAAATCCAGGTCATCAGGAGGCTGTGGAGGAACGGACAGAAATGTCCAGGAGCAGCCCAGCTGGCTTTACTGGAGGAACATCCCTATCCTCCCAGTCACCCCAGAATGAAAATAGATAAAAGGCACCCACAAGATCGAAGCTGCACTCTCAAGTCACGAGCAGGCGAATGGGAAGATTGTGAAACCCCCATGATGAAAATAGCCATAGTGTGCAGGTAAATATCTTGGCTGGTGTGTTCTCTTCTAAGCCTCTTGAAGGTGGCAGGTCAGGAGCACCACCCCAAAGTCAAACTCTGGAGGATACTCTATGGATGCGCGTCCCCCCCCCCACCATCCCTTGCCAAGAACCAGAGTGGGCCAGATGAGGAGGAAAGCCGAGTCCGACCCAGCCTGCCAGTTTCTACTGGAATTCATGGAGCGAGGATGCCCTAAAGGTCTCCCTTGAGGCCCCGACCGAACCCTCACGGTGGCCCTGCTCAGAACAGCTGCATCCGCTACCCTCAGCCCCCCCCCCAGCTGGGACACCACCTCAGGGGGAGGAGCAGGAGGAGAGATGCGGGGCTCCCAAGAGGGCTGGGGCCGCCTCAGCTGCCAAGCAGGAACGTATGGCTGCGAAACCAGAGTCCACGAAGCGGAGAATGACATCAGAACTTCATCCGGAGAAGGCTTCTTCTCCGCCCACGTGACCGGCTCCGAGCAAAAGGCCTCTCCTTACCTCCTGCGGAAAACGAAGTACTTCTTGGCCGTGAAACGGTGGAAGCGCTCCACCAGCGTGGCGTTGCGCCGCTTCTGGAGCTCCGCCATGCGCCGCTCGCGCCGAAGGAAGGCCTCCACCACCGGGTCGGCTTGGGTCACGTTCTCCAGGGAGCTGTCCAGGATGGGCTGCAGCTCTGGAGGGAGAGGCTCCGTCTCTGGGGGAGGCAAAGGGAGGGGAGGGTTAGGGTTGACCCTCCGACCATGTCCTCTTGGGGAAGGGGGCGGCCCATTCCCCCACCTGGGAAATGAGGGAGGGGCTGGGCTGCTGGGGACCAGAGGGGGCTCCAAACCACCCGCCCGCCTCGGGGGGGGGAGACTCACCGGTCCCGTTCTGCACCTTCTCCCTCAGCTCCTGGAGGCGAGTGAAGTTCTGCTCCAGGGCCGCCTCGGTGGTGTTGACGTAGACATACATGTAGCAGGAGGGCTCCTGAGAGACGGTGTAGACTTTGTGGTACTCCCCAGGTGGCAGCTGTGGGGAAGCGAGAGAGAGCACTGCCGAGGCTGGAGAGCGGGCAGCCCAGGCAGCGAGGTCTTGTGCCTTCCAGATGACCCGTCCTGAGGAAGGCACTGCCTTCAGCCTGACCCTCACCTGTATCCGGTCTCCCTCCCGTAGAGTATGGTTCTTCTGGGTGTTCACAATCTCTACGGTGACCTCTCCCTTCAGCAAATGGAGGCTGGTGTTGCCAAGGTCCTCGCTGACAAAATTCTCCAGGTGCAGACCTGCCAAAAGGGCAACAGGGAGAAGAGTAACTGGCGGTGTCCCTAAGAGCCAGTTAGGCCCAGAGCCGCCTCAGGGTTCCTCTGCTGAGGAGAGCAGCTGGGCCCTCCTCGCCAGCAGTCAAAAGAAGTCGGAAGCCTGCGAGTGGACACCCCAGGGAAGCCCAGATCCACGGCCCGGAACAAGCAAGAGGCTTGCTGCCTCAGCTGAGCCTGGACAAAGCGTTTCCTTCCAAAAGGGCACAGAGGCCAAGAGGCTACCTGGGAAGTCGGCAATGAAGACCACCTCCGTCTGGTTGTCCAGCGAGTCCTCAATCTCCTGGAGCTTCGTCCGCCAGGGCGACAGGTCCACCAGGAGAGGCTTCAGCCACGCGGTCTTTCGGAAGGGCGACCACTCCGCTTGCACAATGTCCACCTGGGGATCAAAAAGCCTGTGGAGGAGACGGACAAGGCCCGTGGCACTCAGGATGGTCCGAAGGATCCCAACCATGCGTGATCCTGAGGCCAGGAACATGCTAGGAGGAGGAGCCTCCCCCCCCCTCTGGTCCCCACATGCATACATTTCTGAAAACGTTTTTGAGCTGATTTCTGGTTGGAAAGCGACACAGACTGTCCCAGGTACTCTGACCTCCAGGTTTGCAAAGCTGAGCTTGGTTGGCAGGGTTAAAAGTCTGCTTCTCCAAGAACAGGGAGCTCTTCCTCCTCCTGCCCCAGGGCTTCTCACAACCTTTTTGGCCCCGGGGGATGGGGGATGGCTGCAGCTTCCCAGAACCTGCAGGTTGCCACATGGCGACTTCCACCCCCTCCCACCACATGCCCTTGACTTGGGCCCCTTTCCCTGCTGGGAACATCACTCTGCGGGTGGAAATATTTGGCTTCTGAATGGCTTCCCTTTCACGCAAAGGTACCAAATAGGTTGGAAAGCAGCACTTGGGAAAAGGCCCCGGAGAAGACAGGAGCGGCTGGCCGGGCTGGAGAAGAGACCAAGTCAAAGGACTCAGGCCCTGGCCGGCAGTCATTGGCTGCCACAGCTGTCCGGTGGAGTCTCTGCCTCCAGGGCTTTGCTCCCTCCCCGCCCGCCAGGCACCTGCTCACCTTTGCTGGAAGCGGTCATTGATGGAGACCCAGATGTCAAAGTAGATCTCGGGCTCCGAAACGTTGTAGTTCTTCAGCAGGTGGCTCAGGCAGGTGGCGTACTGCTTCAGCATGTCGGCGTGGTCCTTCCAGCGCCGGCTCTGGGTGAAGACCTGCTCCGGCAGACACAGGTGTCAGCGGGGACACGGGGGCCACGCCAAGAGGGAGGGGAAGGCCCTGCTCTCGGAGGTCTTGGGGCAGCAGGAAGCAGCCGCTGCAAGTGGAGGAGAGCCCGTCCGCCCCAGCAGGGAGACGGGGCTCCTTGGATGCTCTGTCCTTGCAGGCTTCCTTTGGGCTGCTGAATGTTGGCACTTCGTACAGTCCGGATTTTCTCTCCAAAGGAAGGAGGGACAGGCATCGTGCTAAGCAGCTGCCCTCCTCCTGAGGGGGCAGGCTCCTGCAATAGAGGGCCCAGGGCAGAAGAAAGACCGATGCATTTAGGGAAGGGAAGGCTATTTCCTGCGTGGCCACCCATCACCTCTGGTACCTTTGGCCATGTGTGAGGCAACCCCTCCGTCTGGCAGCTGGAAGACCTGCTGACCCCCTCCCTGCCTGTTCACTCCCCCCCTGGAAAGAAAAGAGACGAGACTCACCCCGGGGTTCAGGTACCCAATTTCCCCGGTGAGACCATCACGGTACGTAATCTTCACGTGTTGGTGGGAACGTGAATGGACCATCATGTCCCAGGAGTAGCCGTACAGCCCGTTTGTCCAGTTGTTGTAGCCCTGTGGTGGGGGAGGGGTCCATATGGGGGGAAGGCAGGAGGAGGTGGGTGAAGGTGGCTGTTCTCTCACTCTTCCCTCCTTGCTGCCCCCACAACGTGTCGTCTGCAGTGAATGACATGCTACGTTTCCATAGCCTTTGTCATCCTTTCCAAAGCTGCCGGGACTGGGATCGGGGGCGGGAGGTGGGGGCAGGCAGGGCCTGTGCAGCGTGGATTCTCAGGGCCTGCCAGGGCGGGGTGGGGTGCCTGGGTTTCTTGGGGTCCTCCTTGTTTTCCACTCCCTGGCAAAGCCCTTTCAAGGAGAACTGCCTCTCTCCAAGGACACCCGTGACCTCCCTTGTGCTCCAAACCCCTCCCTTCGGAGGCCGGCAGAGAAAGGAGGAAAGCCGGCCGGCCCCGCGTGCCCCTCACCTGGGTGATGAAGTGAGAGTAGGGCAGGAAGAACTGCTCAAGAACGTACACGACGGTAAAGAGGGCGCCCAGCTTCTGGCGTAGCCCCAGCTTCCGAGATGCTCTGCCCGGCCTTTCCTCCCGCCCAGCCTCTCCATACACACACTCCTGGCTGGGCTGAGGGGGATCCGCGAGGGGCAGGAGGCCTTGGAAGCAGGCGGGCATCCGGGCGATCAGGCGGCGGGGCCAGTCCGGGTAGCAGAAGAGGGGGCTGGTGGCCAGCATGGTGTAGGAGAACATGCCTGCAGGCAAGAAACGGGTCTGGCTTTTGGACTGGGGCAAGACGGAGGGAGGAGACGCTTTCGAGAACAGGCTGAAGGGACACGGAACCCCTGCCCCTCCAGAAGATGGGAATCGTTGCCGAGCCTTCTGCCCCTTGTCTGCCCCCACCCCACCCCCGGCCAGCTCTCTGGACAGCAAGAAACATTCCCCAAGGAAGGGCAAGGCCAGCAAAAGCTGCAAGCTGGCACTCAAGCTGTAGGGAAGGAGGTGGTGACTAAACATTGGAAAGAACTTCCTGATGTTGGAGGGGTCGACGGAGGGGATGGATGAGGGCAAAGGGGTGAGCGGGCGGGCTCCCTTTCCTTGGAGCGCTTCAGCCAGGCTGGGCGGCCACCTGCCAGAGATGCTCTGCATTAGCCCAGGGTTCAACTAGATGACTCCTTTGGGGGGGGGCGGTTGTTTCCCTTCTAACTTTACAAACCTATGAAACTCCAGTGACTCTCTTTCTTGCCCTGGCCAATGCTAGACACCTGTGACACCCTGAAGGTGGCGGTGTGAGGTGTCACCCACTCGCTTTCTGTTGACCAAGGAGCTTTTTGCCTGGTGCCCAGGAAAGAGTCTCTGCTCAGCACAGGTGACTCGGTGGGTGGGTGGCTTTTCTACTCCTGAGTTAATGCAGGTGGGACTTGAAATAGGAGACTTGGAAAAAGAGAAGCCCCTTGACCTCTCCTGGAACTTACCGATGCTGAAAAGCTGGGAGTTCATGCAGTGGAAGTAGGAGACAAAGAACAGGGCGACGGGCCGGGTGGCGTCAAAGAAGAGCAGGAAGCCAGCCGTCAGGTCCAGCACAAGCCCTCCGCCGTGCACCACCAGCAAGTTGGTCATCTCCTCGGACATCACCAGCCTGAGAAGGAGGCAAAACAGCAGGGCTGAGAAAGCGGGGAAGGGCGAGCGGGGGGGCAGAAGCTTTCCCAGGCTTGGGTGGGTAGAAGCAAACCCACCGGGGCCGGGAGCCGTCTCATTCCACCAGCCCAGCTTGGCCCAGAAAGGGGGTGGGGTGGGGCTTCTGCTGCCGGGCAGCCTCCCCCTCCTGGCTCACCTGAAGGGGCTGAACAGCCAGTGCCGAGCCAGGCTGCCCATGGAGTAGCCTCCCACCCAGTCCGCATCCAGCTTCTTGATGCCCGCAATAAAGTAGACGATGAAGATCTAGGCGCAAGCAAAGAAACAGCTGCATTTTTATTCAGACGGCGGGTGAGGAAGAGCAGAGTGGTAAAGATACGCTTCTGTTCCCCGTCCGCTCCCCACAGGCCTCTGAACTCCTCTGCTTTCTCAGTGGGACCCACACGTCAACTCAGGAGCTGAGAACCAGCAGCCAACCCACATAGGTGTGGGGTCAAAGGAGGGGAGGCAGCCGGGTGGCTCATCCTTGCAAAGAGAGAGAGGGAGAGGGAGAGGACCCTGTTCCTCTGGAAGCCACTGCTTTGGAAGAGCTGGTGGGTCTTCCGTGGTGGGGAATGCCTCCCTTCCCTCCCACCCCCCTGCGCGCGCTTCCCACGGCACCTGCATGCGCAGCACAGTGTAGTTCCACAGTGGGACGTGGGCGTTTCTCTTGCGTGGATTCCTGAGGCCATCAATAGACCTACAGAGAAGAGGCGGAAGAAGAAGAAGGGGGAGGAAAGGTAGCGAAGAAGAAGAAGAAGAAGAAGAAGGGGGAGGAAAGGTAGCAGAGGGCTGCTTCCTGCCCAGAGAAGCACAGGCAGGCATTGCCAAGCCCCAAACGGGGGCAGCAGAGGAAGGAGACGAGGGTCGCCCTTACCAGTAGCGGTTTGCATTGATGACCAGGAACTGGAAACCAAGGAGGCCGTAGAGGTAGGAATGGTTGTTCCAGGTGGTTTTATCCAGGAAGAAGACGTACCAGTAAGGCAGGAGGAAAAGCAGGCAGCTGAGCCGGTAGAAGCAGCCCAGCATGATCCCCAGGGCACCTGGCAGGGCAAGGACGCCGCGTTAGCCCTCGCCCCGCTTGGACGCCAGAGGTTCCAGCAAGACCAGCAGCAGGGAAATCACTGGGGGGGGGGGCGAGGCTGGCACATGCCCGGTTCCCCTTCCATGGGATCGCCCTCTTCCTGGCACCCTTACCCAGCAGCATGACCATGTAGACGAGATACATCCAGTCCAGAGGGAGGGGCTCCAGGAAGTTGAAGAGGGGGAAGCGGCACACCTGCAGCCCATCCAGGTACTTGTGGTCCAGGTAGCTCAGGCCCCGCTCCTGGGGGATGTCCAAGGCCATCAACAGCCCTGAGGGAGGGGCAGAGGGGGAGGGGGAGTCAAGGGCAGCCAGGGAGGGAAGGGGTTCTCTCCTGACCCATTCCTCCAGGGAGGGCAGGGAGCGTAAGGCCCCTGATGTTGTTGTCCTACGACTCCCATCAGCCTTCACAAGAGTGATCAGAAGTCAGGCAGGATGGGAGCCGTAGTCCAACTGCACCTGGAGGGGCCACACACACTCCAAGCCTGTTGTACTGAATGCAAATTCATCATTAAAGGGAATTTTACACACTTCTTCTCCCTTTGCACTACGCAACGACGTTGTTCTGCAAGCCCTGGGCATGCCTCTAGCAAGGGTCACAACGGCTGTGTTCTGTCCCACCCGATCCCTCCGGCTGCAAATGTGGAATGCCAGCGTCCCATGCATCGGACCCGATGGGATGCCATCCACCAGAGCTGATGCCGGGCCAAGTCTCTAAGGTGCCAGAAGGCCTTTGGCTGAGTATCTGAAGCTGCTGTAAAGAGCAGCGATGGACCAATGCCAGGCTTGTGGCTTTCACCAGAACAGTATTTCCTGCACCAAACTCATAAAGCCTCCTTTGCTTGTTATTCCACCAGGCCAGTGGCTGCTCTCCTGCTGTTTGGCTTTCATTTTGCTAATTATTCCTGACTAAAATAATACGGTTCAGTTTGTTTGTGCTGGACAGATGATTCCCCTGAAAGCCAGGCCACTTCTCTCCCCTGGGCTTTGAACTTGATCCCCTTGGATTGAGCAGCACTGCTGTGGAAGAACATTGAGAGTTTGTTGCTATTAAAAGCAAACTGCAGAGGAATGCCTTGAAACCAGCAACATGATGACAGAGTTGCAGGAACGGAAGCGATACGGTCAGTCACCCCACCCACTCCCGCCCAAATGCACTTCCCTTGTGGCAAAGCATCCGACCGAGGGGAGAGTGGGTGGATGATGACCCTCGTGGCTCATCGGGCAAACATCAACGAAGGCAAAGGAAGGACACACCAAAAACAAACCTCCAGTCAGAAAGGCCTCTTGCTGCCAGACCACTGAATCCTGGAAACAAAACCTGCCTCAAACACACACACACACCCCAAAAAGAGGGTTTCAGCTGAACCCTCAAAGAAAAGAGAGCAGCCAACATTTCTCAAGAGGTGGGCGGGCTGGGGAGACCCATTTAACCTAGGGTCAAGGGTCACAGCCGCCTGCAAGTGAGCAAAAGGAGCGCAAACACAGAAGTAGAGGAGAAGACTGAAAATATCACACACACACACACACACCATCACAGATTGCAAGTCAGCAAACCACAAAATTTGGTTTGCTTGCTGGGGAACTTGTCAGTCTCTGATGCTCATTCCCTGAACACTTGAAAAGGACTGCGCGTTTCCCAATACGCAGAATACAGTATATCCATCCAACAAGCTGTATGCAAACCAGGCGGGTGGGACACCAGCAGGCTCCAGCAGTGGGAGGGGTGTCATCCGGCCCTGCCCCCCCTGCCAGAGACAAAAGAGGCCTCCTTATGTTGCAGAAGGGCGGCTGGCTACAGCACAGTGCGAGGGCCCTCTGAACGCAGAGGCAACTGGGAATGCGAGCTTCTGGGCCCACGAGGAGCGTCGCTGAAAGCTCCCTGTGCCAGGTGGATTTTGCCTCCCCCAGCCCATCCTGCATCCCAAGTCCAAGGCCTTCTCTCTCTCTCTCTCTCTCTCTCTCTCTCTCTCTCTCTCTGCCAGGAAGATAGAGGTCGGGCAGTGACCCCCGATGTGCAAGCAAAGGCTCCTCTTTCTACCCCCTCTGCCAGAAATGAAAAAGTCCATTGCAAAAAACACAGGGAGGCAGGAAAAAATTTCTAGAAAGATTTTTTTCTGCCCCCTTGGGCAAAATGTTCTGTTTTCCCAGCTGAAAACTAAGAAACTTTCAAAGCTGGGGGCGGGGGGGGGACTCAGATCATTGCTTTTGGGTTCTGTTTTGGAAGGAGGGGAAACCCTCTTTCAAAGACATTTGACTCAAGATGCCAGAAACAGTATGTACGAGTAACGAGTATCCCTAGGTTGGTTTACTACAGCATCAAGGAGGAAGGATGCTTGGAAATCTTTTCCATAAACACATCCTAAGCGAAAGCCCGGCCGAAGGCCCTCGAGATGCTCAGCTGCCCCTTCAAGGTAGAAGCTGAGAAGCCGACCCCCAGCGTGGCTCCTGAGGAAGGAACAGGCGGGGGCTCCAGAACCCGGAGCCAGGCTGAGAGCTTCGAAGGGGAAAGGCGGGGGCTTGAACGCCGACACCCGTCCCCCTGAGAGGGTTGGCCCCCACCCAAGAGAAGGGGAAGGGGGGCCCGTTGTCCGGAAAACCAGCACCGGCCAAAGTATTTCTGGGCCTCCCTTCTGCGGCTCAAGAGGTCTCCTCCTCCTCCTCCCTGGGAGCATCTGTGTGCCTTCTTTCCTCCCCCCCCTCCCCGACAGGCCTGGTTTCAAAGCCCCTACAAATAATGGCAACAAGTGACAACAAAAAGGGGATCTAATCATCCACGTTGTATAGAAGAAAGCATAGCAATAAAAGCAGGAACCTCCCAAGGCTTTTTCTGAAGGAGAAGGAAGCAGGCCAGAAGGAGCTTTCCTGGAGGGGCAACGAACGAAAGTCTTGCCACCCGGAGGCTTCAGCCGGTCACGTCGGTGGTCCCTTTGTCACGGATGGCAAGGGCGGAGGTTTTTCAGACTGGAACATCCCTCGGGTGCCATCAGCTATGGGTGCTTTGTCCCCCCCCCCAGGCAGTGGGTGGCATCTCATGCCTTCGCCTATACTAGGCCTAAAGGACTCGGAGGTGTGGGTAAGGTCAAGCCCAGGTGAGCCCCAGACCTCCGAAGATCGATCCAGGGGGGGGGGGCTGAGAAAAGACCTACCAAAGAGGAAGCGGAAGACGCCGAGGGAGGCAGGGTCCGTGGGCCGGTTGAGCAAGCAGGCAAAGCGGGGCCAGCTGGAGAGGTCAGCCCACTCGAAGCCCAGGAGGCGTTTGGCCCAGCTCCCACCGTCGGAGGAGGCTGGGGGAGGCTCTCCCTCCGGGAGCCTCTTCTTCTCCCGACCCGGCCTCCTCTTCCTGGCTGGCGAGTCGGCCAGCTGGGCTTCTGCAAAAGCAAGAGGGCGAGCAGGGTGAGAGTGGGGCCCGGGGGAGGCCCCGGAGAGGTCCCCTCCCCGCTTGGGGCAGCCGTCCAGGGAGAAAACAGAGCCGCCCTGTCCTGTCCCGCCGTGGCCACCTCGCTAGGGGTGTTAAGTGTCGCCGGTCGAAATAGCCTCCCCCCCAACCCGCCACCCCCCGAAACTCCGGAGCCGCTCATTCCTCCCAGCTAGAGAGGAACACGAGGAGAGGGACGCGGAGCGGGGAAGTCCCTCTCCGGCCAGAGGCTCTGCAAGCAGGATCCGACCCGCCTGGCCAGCCTGCCCGCCCGAGCAGGTGGAAGCCCCCTTCCTGGCAGGCCCTCCGCTTCTGCCCCTTGTTTTCTCCACCGAATCTGCCCCTCCCCGGGTGGTGGTGTGTGTCCCGCAAGCGCCGCCTTGCTTTCCCGCGACCGGCCCTTCCTTT